GAACATGGTAAAGCAGTCGGAGAAGAAGAGCCACTTTTCATCATGTTGCTTCTCGCTGGCCTGCTTCTTGTTATCCGATGTCGACGATGTCGGACAACTCGCTGCCTTTGCACCCCCCCTCCTCTCTCTCTCTCTCTCTCTCCTTCCCTATTTTTAACGCCCGCGGCGCGTGTCGAGAGATTGTCGGTGAATAATCGCGGACTTTACATCCATTCGCCTTCTGAGTATAGCTATCGACCGGACATCAGTCAATCTTTCGGACTTCCGTTTGCTGAAGAGGCATTCTTTTTGTCAATACTTTAAAAAAAGTTTTTGCTATACGTGACTTTCTCTCTTCTCATAAATTTCAAGACGATGCTGACCGATTTAGCAGAATATATTTCTTTGGTTGTCTTCTTACAAAAGCATAACTGTACAATTGAAAAAGATTGTTTTTTTTAAATTTCTAAATATATTTATATTAAATTTTATAATATAAAATTTTTATAATAATTTTAGAATTTTTTATAATATTTTAATAATTTTAATAATTTAACATTTTAAAATTATTTGTTTTATAATAAGTTTGCTATAAAATATAAATAATTTGGAGATATATGTTATTTGAAAAAAAAACACGATCGAATTTTGTTTCGTTTATGTTTGAATTTTTTAATTCTATCAATATAATTAACATTTTTTTAATCATACAAAGCTTAAATAAATCTTAAGCATTATACATTGAGTATGAAGATCAAAGGAGTTTTAGTTTCATATAATACATGTCGAATGTCGAACAAATGGATTACGTAAATCGAACAAAGTCGTATTTCCTTATCGGAACAACAATCTTGATCAGCCTTACGTCAATAAACTTCGGTTTTTACGATTCCGCGTCTGCGATCCTAAGAGCGATAAAAAGGGGAGAGATGAGGTGGTACAAGGAAAAGTAGCAAAGAGAAACAGCGTAGAGATAGGGCGAGGTTTAAATGCGAGCGCGCAAAGAGAGACTCTAAGCTGTCTCCGACGTCTTGCCATAAATCGAAGAAGTCCGACTTTTCAGGTCGCGTACCGCCAAGCTTTCTCGAGCTTATTTAAATCATCCCTAAAGCCTCTTTAATATTGAAAAATGGTCGCAGGCAATAGTTCGCTCTTCACGTTCTCGTTCCTTCCTGTGAGAACTGTTTCGACCCGTTGAATAAACGAACTGAGTTCGTTCGCGCAGTCATGATTGTTAAGTTAACAATAACTGTACTAATTTCTACATGTTTTATACATTAATATTTTTAATGAATTTGGCTGTTCATTAAAACCGACTATAAACGTTCTAACGAAGCTTTTTATTCCGCACGCATTAGAGTGTTGTGCAATATTGAATGTTATAATGTTTGCTTCATCATATAATTCGTTACCCGGAAAACGCGATTTCCGAATATTGGATATACCACGAACGAGATTTGCACGGCGTTACTCGATATTCATTTGCAGCAATCCGGAATGATTCGCATTTCACGAATGCGCGATTAATTCAGACTCACCGTGTAGTTACGAATGTTGCGCTCGATAGACGATCTAAATTAATCATCGCCATTTTTTTTTGCACATCGCCAAAATCTTGCGAGCTGAATTTTATCGCGCATCGATATCACATTATATCGTTACGCTTTTATTAATGATAGAACATTCGTTTAAAAAGTTAAATTGCCGGACGGAATTTTAGATTATCAAATGTCGCGAATGTGGAGACCTGCGGATACGTCCGCGAATGTTGGATATCCGCGCAAATTCAAGAGAACGCAACGTGTTCTAACCATCTTCCGTTAGCCTAACTCATGTATCGTGCCCATTTCCGTGTTCGATGCGCCGCGTTTTGGAGGATAGCTGAGGGATTTAGGTAGAACGTTAATAACATTCGCCTAACTTTGACCCTCCCGGCTGTCGAGCTAGAGCGTAATGAAGCTCTGACGACCTTTCGCGTTCACTATATGTCGCTCGACATGCGTTGACGTGCTTTAGGATTCTCATTCCGCTTCGTGACGGTGCATAATCGACCTGACCGTAGGATTACCAGACGAATCGCTGTCGAATCGATCTTTCCAAACAACGTCGAAATTAAGGTGTTCACGCATTAACCTAACAAAACGTTAATTCTCATGTTCGTATAAAAAATACGTAATCTTGTCCATGAATGAAATTAAAGTAAATTAGCGAATAGTACCTAGTTAAACTTGTATCATTATTGCGAATTGCATTATGGAAATGTGATGAGTGTGACCAGTAATGAAATTGGATGGAAATTGTAAGAGATTATTATATAATGCAATTAACATCTCGTGTGTTTGCTTTTATATATTTATTCTACGGTATTTTTATGAATATTTTGTAATTGAATAAAATCTTTGTTCCTTTTTTTTTTTTTAATAATATTATGCGGTTTTAAAGTTGACACAATAGATTAAATTAAAGCGTTCTTTTTATTATTCAAACACTATTTCGATAATTGATTATCGTAGGATTTTTGTCGCTTGATAAAACTACAATAGCGAAACAATGTGCATGCAGACATTGCTCCGCCATGTCATAAATCCGGTCGCGGAAAGTCGACGGCGATTTCGCGCGGGGTCGCTTCGCTGTAAATTATGAGGCGGTCATAATACGTTTTATGACTTTTCGCCGTTTCGTTTTAGTCACTACAGCCTGCGACTTTGTATTCCTCGGGCATCCCGGGACGACACCTTTACATCTTCGTCATGCCTCGGTTACGCTTCGTCTGCCTCTGTTAGACAAACCGACAGTTAGGTACGTCTTTTTGCTGCGCGTTTCGCAACGTTGGCGCGTAATGGCGTAGCGCGAAACTCCCGTCTGCGTTTGCTGTTTATTCATTATACACGAGCTCTCTGCTCGTTAGAACAATATGTAAGTTGAGCTTTTATTCGAGATGGAATGACTCGGGGGAAATTTCTCGCTATGCTACGCTTTTGGTTTTTATTACCGTTTATTATATGGCCGGTTATTCTACAAAAGCAGCGCATATTTTATCAAAAGTAATTAAGAAAACTAAATATAAGTCAAATGATTGATTAATTATTTAGAGACACATATTGCATTTTTATACACTGACATCGTTGTCCAGATTTTTTATTTAGAATAAACTTGCCCTATGAATAAGATTTAATTATTTTATAAAATTTTGATAAAATACTATAAGGTCTCTATTTTGTAACTCTTAATCACTGCAGAGTCGATGTCGTTACATTGTATACATGGTAAATATAACGAATACCGACACTGCTATCATTAGGAGTTACAAAATAGGGATTTCAATCATCTCCAATTTAGAAGATTTGTATGTAATTTTTAAGAGTATTACAATTTAATAGAATTTTTTAAATATTTTTGACTTATTACGCGCGCGTGGATGAATCAGTAAGTAACCTTAATTTTTATTACCTCGATTATTAATGGCGAAATTAAGATTACTTATTAATCGACCTATCATAAAAGGACTATCATTAAAAGAGCAGTAATCTTACACTTGGATTGTATTTTCGTCACGTATAATAGTACACTTGATATTATCACCGAGCATTGATACAAACATACCTCTTCCTTCCTTTTTCAATTTTTCTTTTCTAATCTCACGTTCTCTTTGTTCACGTAGATATTAGAACTCTCCGTTCCATTTCCACCAGCACAAGTCCAACCTTGCCCGACACGCAGGAACCGTCGGCTCTTTCGTTCATACGAAGTTTGACACGGAAATTTATTCGCGCTTAACCGATTTGGCAGTGGTTCAAGACGGATGCTCCACCCACCCGAGAAGTCTGCCGCTGTTTTACGATCAAAGTTCAGAACGACATTTGCACGTCGGCTCTTTCGTCTCGGTTCCGCAGCCGACACCGCCATCGCCGCCCTCATCCTTTGTACTATTTCTTCGCCGCACCCTCTACGAGGCCGGTTTCTCGGTTTCTCTCGACGCCGTCGTCGCCGTCGTCGTCAACGTACTCCTCTCTTGTCCGACATGCCCGAACGACTCGCCGTCATTTTCTTTCTAGAGAATTTCCGTCTCGGTAATCTCGGGTCCCGCCATCCAAATCCATCGAGAGTGACCGATGACTGGAACGGTTATATCGGATGATAAAAATTCGCGAACGAATCTGAGCAAACGCGCTTCGCTGGCGAGCTTCGGGAGATTGAAACGCCGGAAGCTAGAGCGAATGAAAGAAACAGACATTCATAAAATGCGATATGCGGAGTGCAAAGAATGTTTAGCGCGTTGACCGACGAGGAAAAATGCCACGGAGCTTTCGGAGAGTTCTGTTCGACGAGAGCGTTTGTTTGAAGTATTTCATATCCGCTTCGATATCGCATTTCCGCGTTACTTCATGTAATTCGAGCCACACTGTCGAATGAAATTTGAGATATTTTTACGTCCGTATAAGAATTTATTTACATGAAAGATACGTATTAAAATATTCGGACGGAGAGATGAATTTATATAGCGTTAATATTTTATTTTAATTTTTGAATGTACTTTATATCTGCTTAAATATAAAACTTGATTTTGATTAATTCATTACAAAGCAATAACACGGAAAAACAGCATACATTTGATGAAACCGAGTTCTAACGGCGAGTGATTACAGAAAATTTCATAGCGGATGGTGGAGTGCACTCGGCTTTTACGTACGTTGGGATTCCACAGTGCGAATGATTTTCATATATGAATGCTGTTCACTTTCCACAATATTGCATTTTCGAAATTATTAACAATATGCCCCGCTTGCAATTTTGCATCCGGAAATTGTGTATTTGCCTTTACGCTTCGAAAACACATAAACTGCGGTATGAAAAAAAGAAAGATCTCTCTAAATAATTCCTTTTCATTTCTACGAATCTGAATACGCGCTTTAACGTGTGAGAGTGATTTATACGAAATTTAGCTTGAATGCAAACAGCAGTAGAAGAAATTATCGATCTTTCCCATCCTCTAAATTGCTATCTTTCTGTTTCTGTTACAGAGTGACAGCGGGCTAGTCGACACAGATCCAGGTCGAGTTAGCAGCATGACAGCCATTAACTCGGTGAGCCAACGTTAAATTAATACGCGACGATAAAAGCAATGCGCACAGTATCGCTTCGTTTAATAACTCGATATTACATCAACTGGTTGCGTCCGTTTTAAATTATGTAAACCGAATAATTTACCGATAATGTTCGTTAATGGCCATGACCGTATTTGACCAAATTGTGACCAACGAAGCAGGAAACGCTTTTTTAACGTAAAGAGAACTTTCTACTAATTCAATTATCGTTTTTGCTCTGTTATGCGTTACTGTGTACATTTGAATTTCTCATCGCGTCACTTATCATTGTACGAGAAATAGCATAAATCTGAACGAAAAGTTGCTTGGAGAAAAGATATTCTCGATGCTGAAGTATCGATTCTGAAATAGTTTCACACTCTCACGTGACGAACCATAGAGGAACGAGAAAGAGTGATGGTAACCGGAGTCTCGTTATATAGCCGTTGTTCATCAAATATGTAGGCAACTGTTCCTGGTATAGGAGAGCCCGCTTGTGAAGTTTCCATCCGCTAATAATCCCGTAATGCTACTCACGCGACCGTAGTTTCCTGGGGGAAAGAAGATAGCGGCTTGTACGGTCTGCGCGAATGTTTGCGCGACGGGACGTTTCGGCTCGACAAACAACCGGGAAGCCAGAGGGTGCAAGCTTAGTATTTTATCAGTCCTAATACAGTTATCATCGACTAACATTTGGTATTGTTATGATTAAGGGACGAGGGTTGTTCATCCTTCGGTCAGCCGGCGCTCGTTAATCCTTTTTACATTACCTTCGTGTTTGTTGAACAGAATTTACTCTACAGCTTTATATATTTTATTATACATATATGTATTATACATATGTGCAGCACATGTAGGGTAACTCCGGTATATACGCCGCACCTATCAAAAACTTAATTTATTAAGTATTATTTACTATGTTTAAAATAAACGAACTATATCAGTAAAAGCTTTGTATTGTCTACTACTATGAAAAAAATATTAGAAATCCGAAATATTTAGTTTTCGTATTAAAAAATAAACTTTTTGAAATCTTGCATTTTTGTTATATATAGATAATGAGTGGGATATATGGCAAAAATGCAAGAGTTTCAACAAACTAAACAAAGAATACGAAAGCAAAACACTTGTATTTTGCTATACAACATGCTTTACTATTCCTCTATACGTATGTATCACGAAATAACCACTAGGTCTTTTACACGCCTTACAGTAATCATTTTATGTAGATTATAATTTATGATGATGCTACTTGTACACACACAGTGACAAATCGATTCAACTCACATTAATTTTATTAATATTAACAGTAAGAAGCTGAAATTATAACTCAATACAAATATAACATAAAGGCATGTAACAGAGTATTTGCGAGAAAATTATCCCCACTCCTTTTATTTTTTCTCACTTCCGCGGCGTATATACCGGAGTTACCCTATGTACATTGGACTTGACAAATTAATACATCAACAATTAATATGATCTTTGTTGTAAAGAAGTTTTTTTAATATATGAATCAATATATGAAAATCTTAGAATAATCCCTTAAAACTAGATTAAATAGCTCTAAGATGTAGTCGATGAAATGTAATATTCTTGACATTCTCTGTAAAATGACTCCACGAAACGGAGCTTCTAAAAAATACGATATCAAATATAAGATTAAATATTAAAATTAGAATAACTGAAATGAAAAAAATGCAAATGTTTATTTGATTTAATAGACAATCTTTGGATGTAGATTACCAGAATAAATCATTTCTAGAGTTAAATGCGCGGTTTGACAAGATGAAACGACAACTCGTCTCATTTCTTCCTTACAATACCATCCGATGATTTATATTCATATCACATTGTGAGCGCAATGAATCAAACCTCTTCCCTCTAATCGAGCGTCGTTCATCCTTCTTTTCTGGAGTTAGGCATGAGCTTTGCGACACCTGACGTTCGGATGCGTTACATTATGAATCGTGGAAAATCACCGTTTGCATGATAACGACATGACGGCTGAGGTCGGTGAAAGGTGAGACACGCGAAGCGACGACGGTATTATAGGGCTTTCCAACATAGGAAGAGACCCAGCGCGCCTTCCCCCGAGAATTGTACACGAATACGCCAACATACAGTATATTCATAGTTTTCGACCACCCTCACGGAATTCGTGCACTTGTTCGGCGAAGTGAGAACCGGATCGGCGGAATTCAACCGGATGCTTCTTCCGCTTCCCTTTTCCCTCGTTCCCGTCGCCATTGCCGTCGCGATCGATTTGGGAATACGGGCCGCATGCATCGTGGCAGAATCCCGTGAATTCGTGCCGCGTCTTCTCGAGAGAGAATAACCCCGGTTGGTTACGAACTTGTCTCTACGACCTGCTGCACTGTCGCGACAATGGTATATCGATTGTACCACCGTCGAGTCTCGCGGGAATACCCGCGTTGATTACTCACGAAGATTACGTTGCGAATTTGCGTTCTTCTATAAATGTCTGTCGCATGAGTGTGAGAGATATTCATGCTTAACATAAACTAGTTGACGACAAATGTCTTAATCAAATTACTTAATATTGACAATGATATTCTTATATGAGAAAAAGTGGAAAAATATATGAGAGCAGACTGCCATTTCGAAATTCTATATAGGATTTTTATGTGTTATTATAGATTTGATAATTTTTTTCAAACTCGATAAGTTATTGATATCCATCGTAGTATTTGACACAATAAAAATAAATAATACGATATTCAAGTAGTCGTAAAGTTTGGCAATTGTCCCATTATACGCGTTTCGTAACGAGAGGAAATTCTGGACGAGTGAGCAGCTTGACGAAAGGAAAGTATCTCTCGTTTTTCCAGAATCAAATTATACTATCCACTTCATAATATAAAAGCAGGTTGTCTTATGATAGTGTGCAAACAGCTAGAAATAAAGCAACGCTTGCAATGCTCGTTCGATTAGGAGATGCGAAATCTGATACGCGCGCTCGTATTACGATGTTGTCTGAAGTATATCCGTAGTATTAGATAGAGCGAGCGTAATTGAGAGGAGTATCCGATCTGCGTTTGAATATTTTAAGTAATATGCATGCTAATCAGAACAAAAGTTGACACGAGACAAGTGCTAATGAAGATTAGCGATTCGAATTTTCCGGTAATGTTTTTCTCAATTGCTTATCTTGATGAAGATAACTTTAATTTTTAGGAGACGAAGATATATTTTTAAAATCTTACCTTTTTTTAAACAAGATTTATTATAATTCAATATTTTTTATTAAATTTCTCCCCCCCATTTAAAAAAATAAAATTGTTTAAGCGCCACTATAATGGCTTTCTTGTCATGTAAAAATTAATAATTGTAATGATATAATACAGTAATATATAAGAAGACTATAAGATGTGAAGGAAATAAAAAAAGTAATTGCGATTGATATCAGAATGTAATTAGATGAAATACATTCGTCACATTTAAATGAATTTATGTAAAATAAATGGTGTATATTTATTGGTATAAATAATAGCTTTGTATCGTTACTTTTACCCTGAAGAGATCTCGAAGTCTGTCTACGACGTCGGTACGAAAGTGCCGCGATCGATAGAAACGTAACGGTGCATTTTTATTCCGTGTTGCTCCTTTTTGCGCGCTACCTCTTCGCCTTCTCTGTGCTGTATTATTCAAACTTTACATACGTTTGAGAAACAAGAATATTCGACGAGATCGCGTTGATGCTTAAAAAACGCTCGTCTCGGGAGCTCGTTATTCCCTTCGGTATCAAAGTCGACGGGCATTTGCAATTGAAATTTTCGCGGTTCTATAAGTCTACCGTGAACAAATTCGAACTTCACCGTGGTCTACGCAAAGAAATGATTCCGCATTTACTTTCGTCGTTTTTCTCTAACATCATGCATTATTATAAAACGACGTTTGTGACATCATTCTAAAAATTGCAGTAAAATTAATAAAAATGTTATCAATAAAATTATTATTAAAGATGAAATAATAATAGTATACATGTTAAGTATCTCGTAAAGAAAATAATACAAGATTTATTTTATTAAATCTTCGAAAAAAAAAAGTCTTTAGAAAATTATTAAAAATATATTAAGAGAGAATATTACAAAAAAGGGAAATTTGTAAGAGAAATATTTTTATTTTCTTCACGCAACGTCGTCTCGAATCATAAACTAATCGAATGTTTTTTACGAGACACAAATATGTATACAAGCCGACCTTTCCCGAGCTGCACGCAGTCTCGCGGAAAATAACGCGCTCGAATCCGGTGACCCGGCGACCGGAGCACAGACGAAAGTCGGGTCTAAAGGACGCCAAGGAGGAAACCAGTTTAAATAAAGACCACGCATGTGGGTCAGCCGGCGTGGCGTTGCGGCGTGCGTGTACGTTACGCAAGCTGCGTCGCGCATCAGCGGCGTCGTCGGTCGAGCTTTGCTAGCCGTACAGGAGACGCGCACTGTGTGCATAATGTGCATCAGCTGAATCACTGTACGCTACCCCCTAAAAAGCATCCGAGCGTACATCACCGCAGGCGTGGAATAAAGGTATATCTATGTCAGCTTGTAACAAGCTTTCCTTTGGTTCGTTGACACACGCGGATGGAGTAGCTAGAAATACTAATTACAGATTTGCGGGAAATTATCCTGTAATTGCGGAGATGTATGGTGGGATGGTTTTCACAGATGAAGTATCTTATTTGTCTACAGTCCTCGTCTATCTGTTCTTCTTGTTCTCATTGTTTATACGTTCTATACTTGTGTGCGATACTATTTATTTTGATGTTACTGATAAAATTTAAAGAGATGGAGAAATGCGCAAAAGAGTCGTGATAAAACTTAAAAATATGATAACTTGGATTGATAAGGAGTACTAGTCTTATTCTTGTCGTATACATTTGATTTTAAGAATAACTTGTCGAGATCTATATTTTTTCAGTTATTTTTTACGTTAAGTTTTTTCAATACTTTGCGATACAGGATTATGCAGTACGTAGT